AGTGGCAAAGGACTTTGGTGCTGGGAGGCAGTGAAAGTAATCAAGATTAAAAGTTTAGGAGTTTTTTTTAAATTTCACTCGGAAGGTGAAAAAATCTCACATGGGAAGTAATTACAGAGCAGGGTTTGAAGGTGGAGCAATTCAGAATTTGGCAGAGAAAAGCAGCTGATGGTGGAAGTTTAAAGGAGCTTTTCTCATTTCTCAGCTGGCACATGCTGCTGGTACAGACCAGTAACATTTGCCTTGGTATTGATGGTTTTCATATCAGGAAATTCGTTTTTAAAAAAGCCAAAATTTTGCTATAAAAACTCTGGGACCCCACTGTTGATTATTTATGCAGGCACAAAGCAAAGCTAACTGCACCAAAAGACACTGGTGTACCAAAATCTGTTGCCTAAGGTATTCCAAAGCTTTTTCCCACTGAATCCCTCCCTGAAGGGACCAGATTTCTAAACATCACTGAGCACCAGGTTTGTTGCAGCTGATGGAGACTTTTTTTTCCAGGGAGGTTTCAAAGATCTCCCCTTTTTTGAGATGAGAAGTACCTACTCACACAGCACCATCTGAACAGGTCAGATGGAAGAAAAATGTCACCTTTTGATGCTACCTTCCAGAATAGGTGGGCTGTGAAGGGGAATGGAATGGTGATTCCAAAGCAAGATGCTTCCAAGACAACAAGGAGAATATTCAAAGCCAGAAGGAAAATCAGATGCTGTTTGCTGCTACAGCAACAGGAGGCTGAGACCTGCTGAGACTCCTGTCTTCAGAGGGAAGCAGAAAAGCTTGGCAGAGCCAAAACTAGGGGAAAAAATGAAATTACAGTGTGATTAAAAGGGAGACATAGACATCAGTTAAAGAACACAAGGATGCAGCATCCTTCTGCTGATGCAACTATCCATGAGGGGGTGGTACCTTGAATATCCCTCCATCCCAGACTGCCATGAAAACAATCCAGTGCTGTCCTAAACCATGACAGGGCTGGATCAGAGCTTCAACACTTGTGACTCAGCACAAACCTCTCCATGGCACAGCTTCTCTGGGCACCCTGTGCCAGGGCCTGCCCACCCTCACAGCCAGGAGTCCTTCCCAATATCCCATCCATCCCTGCCCTCTGGCAGTGGGAGCCATTCCCTGGGTCCTGTCCTTCCATCCCTTGTGCTCTCCAGCTCTGCTGGAGCCCCTTTAGGCGCTGGAAGGGCTCTGAGCTCTCCCTATAACTTTCTCTTCGCTCCTGGAGTTCACATTTCAGATTCACACTTGAGGACGGGGCAGTGTTAAACATTGGCTGCCTGTGACTGCTCCAGTCGTGCCTGAAGCCCTTTGCATCACCGCTGACTTCACATGGAGGGCGACAGCCCAGAAACAAACAAACAAATATATCACTACCTGCCTTTGGTAGGTGCCAACAACCATCCAGCTGCAGGAGATGCCAGGGGCAGGGAGAGGATGGAAATAAGACAGACCTGAGCCCTGCAAGAAGGCAAAAGCACAGTTAGGGTAGGCACAGCTGCCCACGCTCCTGCAGGAGGCCAGGCAGGGCAGGAGCAGGGCAGGCGCATCCCCCATCCCTCCCGACCCCCCCGGGCAGCGCGGGGCCGGCATTCCCTGCCATTGGCGGCGGCCGGGAGAGAGCCGGGACGGATCCTCCCCTTCCTCTCCCTCCCCAGCATTTTTGAGAGGGTTTTCCCAAGTTTCCAGAAGTTTCTCCCCGGCCCCTTATATACCCCCTCCGCAGGACCGGGAGGTGCACAGGGAGCCGAGCAACGCCGTGTCCCGACCCTGCAGGTAAGGGGGGCACCCGGGGGACCGGGTGGGGACAGAGCTGAGGTTGCAGCAGGGCCAGGGGGGTTTTGGGGTCCTGCAGCCTCCTGGTCGGCAAAAAAAAAATCGGGGGGAGGGTTATGGCATGGGAGAAGGGGTGCATGGGGGTAGGCTGCAGTGGGATAGGGGTACAGACTGCCCCATGAGCTGGCTCTGGGTTTTTGAGGAAAAGCATTAAAAAATCCCCCAATCGCCTCCAGTTTGCAAGAGGTGGTCCCAGTGAAACTGCGGGAAAAGCTCTCAGAGGATGAGGAAAAAGAAAAGGGGGATAAGGGAGTGAAATCCTCCAGCCCCGCTCAGGCTCAGCCTGGGAGCCTGCAGGACCCTGGGCACCATCCCAGCGCAGAACGAGAGCTCTCCCTGCACAGCACAGCCCGACCCTGCTCCTGCTGCCTTAACCAAGTGCCACATCCCTCTGGTGGCACGGAAACGGCCTCTTGCCTGCACTCCTGTGCCCTGCAGCTCTGCCCTGCTCCTGGGAGAACTCCCATCCCGCCAGGAAAGGGGTCCCGGCCGCCGCAGGGAGGGCTGAGCAATGCCACGCTGGCACTGGGCGTCCCCTCGCTGTGGGAGCACAGCACAGGATGGTGCTGCCTGTGCATTCCCTACATTCCCTCCATTTCCACCACGGGCTCTGAATTCACCCAGAAGCCAAGAATGGGCAAAATTTCTCCATCTCAGGCTGTGTGACTCAGCAGAGCCCAAATCTGCCACCCAGCCCTGAAGTAATGAACCTTTTTATAAGCTGAGGATGAAACAGTGCAGGCCACCCCCTGCTACCAAGAGAACTACTCCATGTATCTGTTTTCTTTCAGAAAGAAAAAGGCAAACGTTGACCTCACTATGAAACAGTTTCAAGGTATCCTTAGAAATAAACGGGAAATAGAAAACCAGAAGGAGCCTCCTCACACTTCCAATGTTTGTCACCCTGGCTGCACTTTAAAAAGAATGTTGAGGGCAGTTTTGAGCCTGTCTGCTCTTGGGGCAGGCAGGATGGCTCCTCCCTTTAAAGGATTTTAGGTTGTAACTCCCACTCTGGCACAGGGTCCTGGTGGAACTGCGCACTCTCCTTGCCCGGGGCTACGTGCTGCGTGTTTCCTTCCCTGTGTAATCCCAGCGGGCCCCTTGCTTCCTGCTGGGAGTGCTTTAACCCTGCTGGGAATGCTTTAACCCTGCTGCAGCCTTTCCCTGCCTCCCAGGCCAGGGACAGCCCCTGAGGCTGGGCTGGAGCAGAGGAGCACCAAGGAACAGGGCTGCGGGGTAGCGAAAGTTCCTGTGGAGGAGAAAGTCCCCAGAAGCTGCAGGGGGAATTTAAGGCCTGAGGAGCTGCCAGCAGGAAGGTTTGCTGAGTGAAGGCAGGAGGGAGGGGAGCTGTGGGGCCAGGGGGGATGAGCCCCAAAGGGCTTCCAGGCACTTAGACCAGAAGCTCGGGGCTCAGAGCCCTTGCTGGGGTGGGTTCACCTACATTGGGATGAGATCCACCCACCTCAGGCATGAACTGAAGGCTCTGCTGGGGAAAAAGAGGCTCCTCCATCTCCCTCTGTCCCAGTTACCTCCCTGGCAGGGCTGGACTGGCGAACCAAAGCCGAACAGAGCTGATCAGACAGGGCAGGACCTTCTCCAGGGCTGCTCTGGCTTTGCTGGAAGCTCACGTGCTCCATCTAGTGCCAAGGAATCCGAGGGTTTGGGGCCCAGGCCGGGGTCCCCAGAGAGGACGGTCCTTGCCGTGAAGGGCCAGCAACAGCCCTCGGATCAGGGGGCAGCACCAAAATTTTTCTGCTTTTCCTGATCAGGGAAGAGGTTTCTCCTGCTCTGGGGACAGAATCATGGAATGGTTGGGTTTAAAGACTACCTTTTTCCCAACCTGCCATGGGCAGCAGGGACACCTTCCCCTATCCCAGGTTGCCCCAAGCCCCATCCAGCCTGGCCTTGGACACTGCCAGGGAGCCAGGGACAGCCACAGCTGCTCTGGGCACCCTGTGCCAGGGCATCCCCACCCTCACAGGGAAGAATTTCCTACTAATGTTCAATCTAAGTCTGTCTTCTTTCACTTAAAGCCATTCCCCCTTGCCCTGTGCAGATCACATGAGAAATACCTGTTGCTTGCATTCCCTGACCCTTCCTTAACACTGGAGTGTAGGGAAGGAAGCTTTCATTCCGAATGCACAGGCTCTGCTTGCCAGGGTGCAGCCTGCACTCCTGAAGATTAATTGTTGCTCAGGGTGGACTTGGGATGGTTGCACCCCAATGAAGCACTGGGGCAATGTCACTGGAGCAAGGAATGGGTTTCTCTGGAACAGCCCCTGGGATCTCTGGATGCTCCAGGAAGGCTCTGGCCCATGCTGAGGGTGCATTTTCTCGCCCAGCAGGTGCTGTGAGGTGCTGGGTGCTGCTGAAGCCATGTGGATGATCGTGGGGCTGGCCCTCCTGGGCCTCGCTGCGGCCGTGCCCTCGGAGGACAGGAAGCTGAGCGACAAGGCCACCACGCTGGCCGAGCGCAGCACCACGCTGGCCTTCAACCTCTACCACGCCATGGCCAAAGACAAGGACATGGAGAACATCCTGCTGTCCCCCGTGGTGGTGGCCTCGTCCCTGGGGCTGGTGTCGCTGGGGGGCAAGGCCACGACGGCGTCGCAGGCCAAGGCGGTGCTGAGTGCCGACAAGCTGAACGACGAGTACGTGCACAGCGGGCTGGCCGAGCTGCTCAGCGAGGTCAGCAACAGCACCGCCCGCAACGTCACCTGGAAGATCGGCAACCGCCTCTACGGGCCCGCCTCCATCACCTTCACCGAGGACTTCGTCAAGAACAGCAAGAAGCACTACAACTACGAGCACTCCAAGATCAACTTCCGAGACAAGAGGAGCGCCCTCAAGTCCATCAATGAGTGGGCAGCACAGACCACGGATGGGAAACTCCCGGAGGTCACCAAAGATGTGGAGAAAACTGATGGGGCCCTCATTGTCAACGCCATGTTCTTCAAGCGTAAGTTCTACCTTCAGTTCTTGGTACAAGTGACCTAAAACCTGCCCTGAGCCAACACACAGAATCGTGGAATGGTCTGGGTTGGGAGGGACCTTAAAGATCATCCACCAGCCCCAAGGGAAGGTGGACAAATCCTAGGCCCACTGGAGGCAGCTCTTTGTCAGTGGTTGGGAACTGTGCATGGACTTACCACCCATTCTCTTTTCTTACAAGCTGTGTTCCTCTCTCTCCTGCAGCTCACTGGGATGAGAAGTTCCATCATAAGATGGTGGACAACCGTGGCTTCATGGTGACCCGTTCCTACACCGTAGGCGTGCCCATGATGCACCGCACAGGTGAGTGGGAACCCTCCACAACTGGAGTTAGGATCATTGTTCTCCCTTACCCAGATTTCCACCAGCTGCTTCCAAGATTGTTTTGCCTCATGAGAAAGAACAAAGCAGGGAAGTGTTTGTTCTACTGATCCAGTCTCCCTGTGAGCAGAGAATCCATGTTTACTATGAGCTGCTTGGCTGTTGGGAACAAATCCTGGCTCATTACACAAATGTCAGCCACAGCCAACTCCAAGAATGCTGGGCTATTTCCCAAAAGGGTGTCCAAACTCACTTCCCTTCCTGGTCAGGCAAACTCCAGGCTGAATTCACTTTGCTCCACATCTCACTGTTCCCTTCTTCTGGTTTCAAGGTCTCTACAATTACTACGATGATGAGGCAGAGAAGCTCCAGGTGGTGGAGATGCCACTGGCTCACAAGCTCTCCAGCATGATCTTCATCATGCCAAACCACGTGGAGCCTCTGGAGAGAGTGGAGAAACTGCTGAACAAGGAGCAGCTCAAGACATGGACTAGCAAGATGAAGAAGAGATCAGTGGCCATCTCGCTGCCAAAAGTCGTCCTGGAAGTCAGCCACGACCTGCAGGTAAAGGGGGTCCTTAAACAGCTGGGCCTCTCTGGGATGGGAGGAAGGACAGTGGGATGGGGGTTATCCTTGCCTGCTGCCCCTCTTCCCTCTTGCACTGTGTCATCTCGGGAGGGTTGCTGACCTCTTGTCTCCTCCTAGAAACACCTGGGTGGTCTGGGCCTGACAGAAGCCATTGACAAAACCAAGGCTGACTTGTCCAAGATCTCTGGCAAGAAAGACCTTTACCTGTCCAACGTGTTCCACGCCGCGGCTCTGGAGTGGGACACTGAGGGGAACCCCTACGACGCCGACATCTACGGCCGAGAGGAGATGAGGAACCCCAAACTCTTCTACGCTGACCACCCCTTCATCTTCATGATCAAGGACACAAAAACCAACTCCATCCTCTTCATCGGCAGGCTTGTGAGGCCCAAAGGGGACAAGATGCGTGACGAGTTGTAGTTGGGTTTGTTTTGGTTGGGTTTTTTCCCAGAGCTTTGGTTTGTGTGTGTTTTTAGGGGGGCATTTTGACAAATGGGAAACACTATTTTGTATCCTTCTCGAACCATGGGTGCTATTCAGACCAGGTGCATTGTGAGGAGAAACCAGCGTACACTTTACCTCACCCCACGATCCAGATTGCACAAACCCACCTCCAGAGAGGAGCAGGGGAGCCTGGCACCAGAGGGTCACCGGGAGTCAGCTGAGGTGGCCAGGTTGAAGCTGAGCTCCTCCCTGCACTGGTTAAGCCTCCTGCTCAGCCCCTTGCTGCTCCACCAGCCCTGCCAAGGCACCGCCCTCCCATCCCAAACGCTTCCACCCCACTGCACGCTTACCGCTGCCGCTTTTCTCCTGCTTGGGTGCCCCGTGGCACCGCTCCAGAGCTGCTCCTGCTTCTCTCTTCTCTCTCCAGGGATGTGGAACAGAGCTCCAAGGGCCAGCTGTGCAGTCCAGCCCCTGCAGGGCCCTGGAGCAGAGCAGGAGGCAGCACGGGAGAATGGAGATTGTATGGAGTTGTGTCCTTCTGTCCTGCCTAACCCTGCATTCTGCGCTCGATGCTTCAACCACAGCAGCGCCTTAGGGAGAGCATCAAAGCCAAGAGCAGCTTGGATCAACACTTCACAGAGAACTAAGGGGCTTTGGGATGTCAGGGAGAGCCCAAAGCACAGCCTGGGTTTCTAGAAAGAGTAACCTGAGGTTCCTTCAACACTCCACCCCTTGGGATCACTGAGGGGCAACAGCTGTAATTAAACAGGCAGTTGTACCAGGCAGAGAACTCACTTCTCTTGGAAATGCTCTGCATCAGCCTGTAGGGCTGGCAAAGAATCCATTCCACTGCCAGGGCTCTCCCAGAGCTGGCTCCAGTCAGCTCCCTGTGGAGCTGACCCAAGGCACTCCTGGCTGGCTTCTCACAGGGAGGTGGGATCAGGTTCACCTCCACTTTCTTGCTTAATTAAACACAAAGCTTTAAAGCTGCCATTACCCTGACTTCCTAATTATGCTCTGCTGAAGCTCCATGGTACTTTAGCTCCCTGTCTGCTGACCTGGATAAGGGGACCCTGAGAAACAAAGGTATTTATAGTTATATTTATGTCTGACAATTAGCAGGTTTCACAGCCTGATCCAGGCTATTCCTAACTTCTCTTCAAGGGCTATCATCAGGTCAGTACTATTTAAAGGAGCTGATGTATCCCAGGAGCATTGCTTGCCATGCACTGAGAGACACCACGAGGCAAACACTGAGATTATGGAAATGAGGGAAATCCATGCATCCCAATGGATTTCAGTTCCCTGAAACCAGCATGGAGCACCTACAAGGCTTTGCTTTATCTCCCTGCCAATTTTCCCTGCTGCTGTAGAAGCCCAGTACTGCATATTCCCAGGTGCTGGGAGGCAGGAGGCAATGCCAGGTGTGTCCCCAAATGTGGGACACTTCCAGGTGATGCAGTGCACTGAAGCCACACACAGAACGTTCTGGAGGCTGGGCTGGGGGGGTGGAAGGGGTGGGCAAGGCAAGAACACACTGTGGGATATTGTGAATAATTTGCATCATGTGGATGCAGGTGTCTGATGGCTTTTATTGTCTGTTCTTGTACCACACAGTGACAGTTGTGTAATTTTGCAATAAAACTTTTTCAATGAAGCCCTGGCAGCTGGAATCCCTTGCAGAGCAAAATAAACTCAGGGTTCCTTGCAATCATTAAATCCAAGACACCCTAAAGTGGCAACTACAGACAAAAATTACTCAATGCACAAGATGAATTCCTACAGCACATCAATCATGAGGAAGGAATGCTCTTAGCAGATTTTCCCTTTGCTGTTTTCTCCTGAAACTGCAAATATCCAACACCTTAAATGCTCCACAGGTAAAGGACCAGCTGCCCTATCCTGCTGGGCCATTTAGCAGAATAAAACCGGAGCTGTAAGCCACAGGGACCAGCCCTCCTGATTCTCCATGCCAAAGCTCCTCCAGCTGGGATCCCCTCTGGCAAAACAGAGGAACAAACTGCAGGCTAAAGATACCTTTCCCAGGTGGAAAATCCAGCACTGGCAGACCCTGCTAATCCATGTTCTCCCACTTCTGGAAAGGGATGAACCTTCTGCTACTCACAAGCTAAAAGGCACAGACATGTCCCCTTTTCCCTGAGCCTGGGCAAGCACACACATCCCTGTGCAGCTCCTCCCACACTGCAAAATCACCACATGCTTCCTCATTTTCACTAAATTGGAATTACTGAAGCCACCTCCAGCACCAACCACAGCAGGAACACATCACCCTGGAATAGCAATATTGAAAATAAGTTAAAAGTTTTCCAGAGCTCCTGAGTTCACAGCACCCCCCCAGCTCATCTTCCAGGGCTTTTGTCCAAGGGAAGCACCCATTAGACACAGGGAACTGAGTGAGTTCCCTTCTCTAAACAGCTCAGAGAGGTGGTAATTCCAGCCAAAACAGTTGGAAAAGGTGTCCAGCTCACACTTGGAGCCACAGCTGCTCTGGGCACCCTGTGCCAGGGCCTCACCACCCTGCCAGGGAGTAATTC